AATACAATAATCTCTTTGAAGTTAATATTAAACGACAAAGGTCAACAGCGAATATATCGGTAAAAGATTTTTGATTACTAGGTTGTTGTTACTCAAGTAGCAGAAAGGACGTAGGGTGTAGTCCAGGATTCATGTAGCTCGACTTGAAGCGGACCGACTCAGGAAGTAGGATACCTCCTCCTTATATAAGAAGATCACAGTCAAATGAGGATTCTTTCACGTAATGTCGTGCTCCTATTGTGAAAAAAGCATCCAAGTTTTGACCAGGAGATATCGAATGTGGTGGCAGCTGGGGGACATCGACTACCTATTCTCTTTCTAATTGAAACTGAAAAATCTAAAAGATACTGCACATCCGAACACTCTTTTCCTCAAGGAGACCAAATCACTCGTCAGGCAGACGAGTTAGCTATGACTCTTGCCAAGTTTTAAGAGGACTATGAGGAGATCAGGTCTAGTTCTGGGGCCCACTATCGAAGCTACAACCTTACTTTTGCCTCAGAGATTTCAAATGAATCGCTAGTTTTCTGTTCAAAAGGTGCATGAAGGCTGTTGTTGATGGCAGTTGTTCCAATGGCATAGACTCTAATACTGGCGTGCCACAAGGCTCTGTGCTATTCCAGACACTGTTTCTCCAATATCAATGATAAATTACCTATTAATAGCATCCAATATTACGAAATGATAATATGAAACATGATTTGTATATCATGTTGTGGAAGAAATTTGCAAACAATTTATGTACCCAGGATCTTTGACTAGCTGATATCTTTTTGGGCTGATGCTTTTACGAGTACATATAAAGTTGGACATTGTGAGTCCGAGCAATAATGAGCTGTGAGAATTGTCCATGATACCGTGCTCACGGGCGTGAAACCTCAAGAGAGATCTCGCTTCCCTAAATGTATTCTACCGTCTGTATATTGGGATATGTTGCGAGGAACTGTTTGAGATACTATTGACGTCCAAAGGCTATAAAGTGACCGATCAAAGACAGGTAAAAAATGACAACAACGTGGTAAAAATAGAATCAGTGCCATAATCAGTTCAAGCTGATGTAGTCAACACTAAGAATTATTCAACAAATACAATTATTGTTATTTTTCCCCTACTAATAATAGGAAAGTTATTTCGAATACGATTTTAAGATCAGGTAAACAATAATATGCGGTGTTTGCTTTTGAGGTAAACAATGTTTGTTTTAAAGAAGTGTGAAGAACATGTTATAGTAGTGTTATGGTTACAACTGTCTTATATCTATCAGAAGACATAGTCCAAAACACTATAAATAGACTTTACTACCCAACCCCTAAACTTGAACACAAGTAGAAAAGACCGAAAAAAACAAGTTTCGGATGAGATTTAACACATGTAATGATAAGTAAAAGTCGTGGTTTTATGACGTAGCCGTATGCAATTATTTTAATATGGATAATACCATTACATCCAAGTGACATCCTCAATACAATGCATTTTTCTCGACGTGGAAAAGTGCGAGAAACTTCGAAAGGCGGTCGTGAAAGTAACTCATGCGCAGCGGAAGAGGTCGACTATGTAGGGTGGCCATGTGCGACATCATGTAACTGGGAACTGCGGTTAAAGCAGTTTCTACAACCATGGGAACGAACACGGTCAATGTTGCAAACGTTTTGCAAATACATTTTTGAACTACGATCATATAATTGCCATTAAATTCCGTGTATATTAAAAATATAGTGCAAATAATACGTAAGCCATGAAAAAAAATATTTTGCATTATAAAATTCCATTGCAATGAAAAAAAAATGACAATTCAAACTTCATAGTCTTCGTATAATAATATGCAACTGTTGTTCTCTAATGAATTGGCCTTTGTTGTCGGTCTTATTGTTATGGAATTATATAAAAATCTTAATAATTTTGTTTTTATTTTATAAAATGTAAATTGTGATGCACCTTTTGTAAATTTTTATTATAATTATGTTTTTAAACTGAACAACATTTATAAAATTGTAATCAATATATGACATTGGTTAAGAATATAAAGATTTATTCAAATAAGTTTTTTTTACATGTCATAAATTTTCTCCAAAATATAGATGCTGTGACAAAATTCATCATTCTACCTATTCCTCGTAGTTTCATTGGTTTCGGTTCAGTAACTTTGAATGTCGGATTTACAAACAGTGTTGTTAACTACAGGGTTCATAAAAATAGCATAATATTTTTGTAGATTCTAATACTTTCATCAAATTTCATTGCATTTGTAATCATAAGCGATGTATTTAGTTTTATCATTACGAATTCACTTTTATTTCTGTCCGCCCGCGCCATACCGATATATTTGTATATTTTTGTTAATCTTAGTTATCATTCTGTGTGTTCAGTGATAGTAACTCATGTTTGTGTACCGATCGTGTAAAGCAAAGCAGACGTTTCAATGATAATGGAATACATTTTTTTCAATTTTAAATAAATCCTACTAATAATTTCAGAAGTATTACTGACTTGAAATCACGTTTTTAATCTCAGAAAGTTATATCTCTTAATCCTTTATAAAATTTCTTTGTCTGTACTCGTTGTTAGCTTGTCTTTATGTAAACAATGACACGAAGTTTCTAATTCAACTCTAACTGCAGTTTGCTGAACTTTAATGTTAACTGCAAACAATATTCATGACTTCAAAGTGATGTTTGGTAAATATTTAAACTTTATATGATATAACCATGGAACTGTAATACGCTTTGTGAGACTTCTAAATCAATAAGGATTTATTTATACTTCGTATGAAAAATATTTTACATTTGATAATCTGAAAAATATGTATTCTATATGTAATGTCAAAAACTATGTTATTTTAAATATATGCCATTTAATTTAAGTGTTTTTTCTTTCGATAATATTGGCAGAAAATCGTAAGAATGGAAGTTGAATTGTGAAAACACAAAAACCATAAAATTATTAAGGGAAAGGATAATTTATCAGAAAGTATACCGTGATGGTTAAATAGAAATTTCTTTGTAATCTGAATTTTAGTCCTTGCCAGTCTTAATCCTACTATTATAGTACATCTAAACGCCTGAATACTACTGAATGGCTGTCGAATGTAATGCTTACAAATAAATCAGTGTAATTTACCAAATTATAACTGTGACTACGTAAATTCTTATTACATCAACAAAAAACAATTACCTATACTCATCACAAACAACTTTAGAACTCACGGCTAAAAATCAGACAATTCTGGCTTATTCCTCTGAAAATAAACGACATTTCATTCAAAAACAACAAAGAGGTTGTATATACTGTATCGATGGGTACGTGATAGCTGTTATCAAAATCATAATTCATATTCGTGCTCCGCTGTGGTAGTTGATCATCGATTTAATCTTCGGAACTCTTGCAAGATCACGATTGCCTCGCGGAATATTCGATAAGAGGTCTTAATGTCCAAGTAATAGGGTTTACAAGGGTTGCTTAGTGAAGCTTGATACCTTCCGAAATATACCGTTAAATTTAGAGGTACCGGGCCCCGTACCCACTGCCCTGTACCTTCGCCTAGCCTTGACTGGGGAGCATTGACCTCTCTTTCACGTGGGATTTATCGAGTAGTGGGCGCTTTTGTCCATTCTTATACATATTCGTAAAATATATGTATATTTTTTTATAATGTGTCCTTTATTATTCATATATGAATACATATAGAAATTTACATACTTTTATTTGATCCGAGATTTTGTTCCTTAACAAAAAAATAGATCTCTTATAGCTATATGAAAGATATTGATCGCAACAAATAAATGGATTAAAGATTACACAAGGAATATCCTATTTAAATTCTTTGTAAAATATAAAATACTTCTATGGAGCACCCGTTTGAGTGTTTCTATTAAACTTGGTCAGTATATTAACGCTTATGAAATACTACCATTGATAGTATTTCACATGACAAGACCCTTAAAAACTTATGTGGCTTCCATTATACCGAAAGTGGTATTATCCTGTCACTTATATGTATTTTCCTTACTTTTTTAAATCATTGTCATTACGTAAACAAGTTTAGTACTCCTCTCTTAAACGATGTATACCGATTGCGTGTGTTCCCGATAACGCCAGAAATACCTGCTCGGGAATATACAGCTTGGTGGATAAAGCGACGGAAAAAAGTACTACATTGACCATACTATCTTGCGTCACCATTCACCAAATATGCAGCTTACTCGCAACGTTCGACGACGAGACACTTTGACCATATACGTTATTGAAGCAAAAAGTTCGGTTACAATATGCCTTGAGCATTCTGCTTACTTATAATAATCATCGTTAAACTTTTTATATGCAACCTATAACGTAATATAACAACGCCTCTCCTTCTATAATACGAACAGAAAAATATTAAAATTGCAATAATATTTTTTTGAATAACATCATGTGACAAAAAATTCTTGAGGTATGAATGTGCATTAATATTTGTGTTGTTGTATATGGACGCAAGAAAAGCGAATACTTTTCATTCAAGAAATGCCTAGAATTATGACTTCTGGGTGTTGTGCAAGCTGCGAATGTTTCTTGAAGCTTGAATTCTTTTCGACACAATTTTTGTTTTTGGGATATAAAACTTAACTTAAACAATATTATAGTGTTAAGCGAATGTGACTATATTAATTAATTTTTGCCTCTAGTAATATTTACTAACAATTTATTCACTAAATAATATAAATTCATTTTATAAACAGACTGACACTAAATCTATTTGTGACGAAAATAAACGTCACCCTGATTGTTATCATCGCCATATGTATCATTATCACAATTGTGTCAGCCTTCTGTAAACAAAATCACTTAACCTTAACAATATCAAATAATGGCTAGAAAAACCTCGATCTAATTTTATATCGACGTTTTCCATTAGAATCAAATCAATCGGAATCGAATTCTGTCCGCATTGCGCTGCAGAAGTTGATAAAAAATGTCGAGAGTCGATTAATATAATTCAGTCAACTTTACAGACATGCTACGAAATGGAACGGTACCTCCGGGAAGAGCCCCGGGGGAAACGCAGAGATTCCCTTCAAGAAGAGGAGTGGGCGAGGTCATCTTCGTGCTCACCACCTTCCTCCCTCTCCCCGCAGTCACCTAGAGTGGTCACAGTCACAACTGCAGCAGTGAAAAGTGAACCGCCTAGCGATTCTGATGAACCAAGAGGTAAAATTACGTTTCAAATACAAAATATTTCGATCCCGTGTGCTGGTACATAAAACTGAATACTTGGACACTTGAAACAATGTTGTATCTACTTTTTTTGTTATTAATTTTGTAATATTTGTATTGTAAACAAAACTGAATGAATACAACTAATACGGATAATACTAATAAACAAGTTTCAGTTATTACCAGATAAGACAACCGCGAATGTTCGTATGCGCTTAAAAATTTATAAAATATATGAAGTGTCCTCAAACTTCGAACTGCGCGTCGTTTAATATCAACGAAGCCTTCGTATATCGAATGTACCAAAAGGTATATGTCTCACACGAGTATTGTTGAAAACTCTATAAGTATAGTGGCTTTGAACATTAAATTTTGCAAAAGAAACAACTACACGCCATATTAAAAATAGTTTCAACGCGTTTCTTAGAGCTGATACATTCTTACGCAAAATTCACCACAACACCAACAGTATTGGAAGAACTTTTTAATATACAGAGACTTCGGATATACGGTTGAGATTATAGTGGTCCTTTATTAAATTTAAAGTCAGTAAAAATTCATCTACTTTTTTATCTAAACCAAAAAAAAAGATCGGAAATCTTTATTATACTATATAACACATTTTGTGAAACTTGATTATCTATAAAACATCAACATATAGATGGCATGTATAATAAACTATGATACTCCGAAAGAGTTTGATATGTTGCTTGTTTAGGGACGAAAGTAAATGAGCCACATCGCTGCCGATGTGGACTCAGTCAAGTCGGCCAACACGGTCCAACTTGCCAGCGCAATGCTGCAAGAATATCTCGGCATGGAACTGTAAATCACGTGAGGCGGAATATTGTAACCGTGACCGTGCCTCCGGTCCAAGCTATCCCAGTACGCGAGGAAGTCAAACGTTCAGAGGGAATCACTATCGTACCAGCGAAGAAAGGTAGGTCAGGTGTAGTGTGACCAGTGACATGGATCTTGCATCACGCTCCAGCACGCAGAAACACTTCAGCAAGCGGTGCAAACAATACTTACGAATGTTTTTGCACCGCTTGACTTAACCGCGTTACTACGACGAATCTCGCAAACTACAGAAGATTGAGGCTTTTGAACGACACGCAGAGCTTTCGATGTTTTTCAGTTACGTAGTTTTAGTATGTCGATGTTATTACGATGTTTTTTTTTTGTATTTATAATCGTCTTAATTATATGTTTTCCTAATTTATATAAAAAAATATGTTGTTCGTTTAAGATTCATTTTGTAATTATCTTTAATTCTACGTCTCAAGTGGAAAGCTCATTCTTATAACGAAAAACAACATATTTAATTTTATTTATTATTATGTGTATGTTTTAACATTTACTATTTAGTGCTCTTAAATATTAATACTGAAATAAATCCTTCTTGAATTTTTTTTTATTTTTCCTAATAGTTGTCATCGAATATCGTTTATTTTTGTGGATAAAAAATATGTTTTACGATACTCGAAGACACATTCACTATAAATCCTTCTGTTTCATAAAATGGCTTAGTTAATAAACTCAATATAGAATTAATTCAAATAGTAAAACTAATTCTTTTGATTGAGTTAATGAAACAAAATTAAAATAGGAATTATAGAAAACTTCATAGAATAGAAAAAATGTTACGTAGCTTTTTTATTTGGATATTTTATTTTACGAATGAAAACTTTGAGTCGAAATACATTATTTTAATTTCATTTATCAATGTAAAAAAGTTGAACTTATTAGCTGAATAGCAGCTAACATTATTGTTTGTATTTAAGTGAAAGGCTTGATACTAGATATAACCACTACTTAAACATAACTAAAATTTATAAAATTAAAGTAACTACTCTGTCGTTACATATAAAATCAGTTGTGTGCTAGTTGAAATCTCGTTAAAATCGGTCCAGTAATTTCCAAACCGACAGGTATATATTTTAAATATATATAATATATTAGCATAAAACCATAGATATTTAGACAACAGCTGTCTTAAACATTGACCGTCAATTTTTTTTGTATCCATAAGTTTTATGAAGTTCATTTAAAAACATTAAAATTCTTTAAAAGAACCCAAATTTTCCTTATAAGTAGTTACTTATGTATGTGTCAGTTATACTTATGGTTCAAAAAAAATCTGTTACCGACCATCTTAAAACCATGTAGACCCTTAATCGACGATCTCAATACATCCTTATTTAACTTTTAAAATATACTCATTTCATTGAATGAATATGTTATGCTCTTTTATATGTTCAATTAAAAATCAATCTCTTATTTTCTCTAAATTAAAAAATCTATCAAAATAACAAAACATTTTTGTAAAAACAATAATATTCAAAGAAATATTGTCCTATCGTAATCCGATTAATTATTACTTATTTTTCATTAAATTGATAGCCTTAAAATTTTAAATATCGCTTCTTTCTAGATGTGTTTGGTTGTTATAATATTTGAATAGTAATTTTTGCACGGTTTTACTTTTTCATTATTATATCGTTTCGTTTAAAATTCCTTTCAGACTTTATTATGTTCAAAAATTATGTTATATTTAAAGAATATTTACATATGTTGTCTTAGATTTATAGAGTAGTTATAATGTTTTTTTTAATAAGTACAATATTTAAATGAATTTTTGATGTTTAGAAACTGTTTATTGTGGTCGAAGTGATTTCTGAACAAAAAAAAAACAAATATTGCATATGATTTTGAAATTAAATGTACATGATGAATGTTTCCAGACGAGCCCAGCCCACCGGTGCGTCGTCATGTGCCGCGGCATCATGCGCACCCGCACGCAACGGATCCCCGCCGACGCGTCCACCGCTGCGAATTCCCCGCTTGCGATAAAGTCTACACCAAGAGCTCGCACCTTAAAGCCCACAAACGGACTCACACAGGTAGAAAAATCTATAGTAAACGATCGAGGAAACTATATTTATACCAACTCTAATGTTCTAAATAATACGTTAACGAACGTATCCTGTTCCAGGCGAGAAGCCTTACAAGTGCTCGTGGGAGGGCTGCGAATGGCGGTTTGCTCGCTCCGACGAATTGACCCGGCACTACCGGAAGCATACCGGCGCGAAACCGTTCCGCTGCCGTCACTGCGAACGCTGCTTCTCCCGCTCAGACCACCTCGCACTACATGCGAAGCGCCACGCGTAGCTGCCGAGCCCCCCACCCACACCCAAACTCAACGGGATACGGAACAAACGCGCCTGTAACACGTCGCCCTAGTAACCGCGCTATGAACCACTATATTGCACGGTGCGTTTATCATTATCGATGTAACCGATCCCATTTCTATATATCGTGTGCCCCTGATGTCGTTGCGCGTTCTGCGCAATTATCGCTTGTTTTGGAAGGGCGCGCGGTGGCGGGTGTCGCGAAGCGTTGCATGCCAAAGAAAATTAGCTACTTACGTAGCCAAGTCAACACTCATTGCACCTAATGCTTTAAAGTTATTTTTTATTAATTAATTATTTTAAAGGTATTAAAAAAGTAATAATCTCCTTTTCGGCCTGTGTCGTTGTGGTTCTTCGTTTTGCGATAAGAGAACATATTTTTTTTTATATTTGCCGTTGTTTATTATGTAAAAGATATCTAAGCTTTGTGTACAGAGAGGTTTTTATGTTCGCTGGTCGCATAGCGGCTGCCGACAGTTGTGCCATCGTCAACGGGCGGGCGGGTTTTAACTTCTTTATCATGCAATAACAACTGTATTATTATCACAAGTTTGCACACAACATACGTGACCTTTCTAGTTTCTTCATTCATAAGTTTACGATAGTGTTTACTCATAATGAAAACTAAAGACGCTGCGTATGTAGTGCCGATCAAACTTATGGTAAGGATACTGTGTAGTGTTCTCTCGCATCGTTCCGAAGACTTTCGTATTGTAACGTGTGACATATAATAAGTTTTGCTGTATGTCTGTAAGTCAGCTGATGTTTTGTCCCAGTGCAGTCGCTGCGAGCGTTGTTGTTTAACCTTATATATGTCAGTTGTTGAGATTTAACGTAATTGTTTTTCTTTTTATATGTCACAAATTATTTATTAGTCCCGATGCGACTGCACCGTGTACTTCGTAGTTTTTAAGTTTTTATATTATTCTTATTTTATGTTAATATTATTTTCTCTTTTACTCTCTCATTCCGTTATTGTAGGCTGAATTTTAATGTTTGTCTGCGAAAATGGGTTTTTATTGTCTTTGAACGCCGTTACACACATAGTTTTAGAGTAAATTCTAAATTTTTACACGAAATATAATCGTGAACGCTAAGTGTGTGATGGCGTCACGAATTTTCGTGAAGTTATTTCTTCGAGCAAGTTGATTCTTAATCACAGTCGCTATATTTATTTTCTATAAGTTTTTGTGTATATTTGAGGCGCTTCTTATACCAGCCTGATCGTATTGTGACTTAGGGATCTAATGTTGACTCTTTTGTAAGCCATTATAAATATACGTTCGCTATTGAAAAACTTTGCTTCTATATTATCGTTTCGTGTTATAGACGTCTTCAAAATTATATGTAGTTTAAATTTATATTAAATTTTAGCTTGATTGCGTTGATTATTCAGATAAGTGAATAATTTAAGAGCTTACATGAATTCCGACTTAAGATTTCGGATCTCTTAGTCACAACATATCATAAGATATGACTAGCTAAGTAAAATTGTTTCTTTTTCCATATATATATGTGACCTAGTTTTAAACTTATGCTGATTAATGATAAATCAGTTACGCTATATAAATTTCGTAAACATGAAAATGTAGGAGATTATGTAAATTTGAAGTAAATTCCTGTTTGTTACACTGACGTTTTTCAATAGGAAGTAAGTTTTTTCTCATATAAAAACTACAAGCTTTCACTTGACCCAAATAACTGTTCTATATCTCAAAGGTTGTGCTTCTTACGCACATATTTTTTCGTATAAAATTATTTGATTTATACGACTCGAATAAAAAGTATGTATATTCTTAAAAATTGCGCAATTAAGATTTGAAATTTAAAAAAAAACCTCAGTCACATTATTTGATATAATAAATATTGTAATATAGAAACAGGAAACGCTTCGTGTTATTTCGATAAAATTATGAAAAACTTACGATGAATTTAAATCTTGAATCGATCACGATATTTAACATGTATTCGTTACAAAAAAATATATGGATTATTAAAAAAAACTAATGTAATAACTTATAAAATGTTGAACTGTGAGAGCGTAACATTTTATAAAGTTTTTTTCTGGTTGTATTTATTTATATAGATACTTGCTTATTGCTAACATTTCGTCGATGCTGTTGAATATTTGGAATTTCTTGGAAAAAAAAATTATCGAAATGTAATTTCATTTGTTCGTTGTTTGTATAATCACAGACAGTTATTTAAAAAAATTCCTGTTTAATCTGGCTGTGGTAGTCGATCTTCGGATTTCGATTTTGTAATAATTGACATTCAATTTAAGAAAAAAATATATATATCAATACCACCGGGCATTCTTTTTGGGATGCGATCATATATTTTAGTAACAATAAACAATAAGTACAATGACTGCATACAAGTTAACTGCCATACTTTAAACCATTTAGTGACTAGTTGTGTGCACAGATTATTTAACTATGGGTTCAACTGTGTGTTAACATAATTTTTATATTCCTAAAGATATTATCCCGGGGGCCAATGATGTAGTCTTCCCGAATTTGAAAATTGTGATTTTTTACATCAATACAATCTCAGGAGTCCGGTTGGACGATTTTTTGGAATACAACTGATAACCTTTTTTTAATAATTTTGACAGACCTTAACCTGTTAACCACTTTACAGCAACAATTTTACTCTAATGAAGAATTAAAAATTCTAACATATTTAAATAACATGGGATGCCCCTAAAAGTTTTTTATTTATTAAAAAAAATGCCAAAATTGTAATAAAAAAAAGAATGTCAACTTCTCTTCTCCTAATTAATAGGGTTTTAACGTTTTTCTAGGCTTTAAACGGTAATTTCAATTTATTGTTACATTTAATGTAACAACAATATTTTTTTAAAACAAATCATTAAACATTATATATAAAGATACATATATGATCACCCTTCCAAAACTAAGAAGCACTTAAATTAAGGTATCGCGAATCGAATTTATACTATAAATGTATTAAAAACAGCATGTAATAGTATCCCACTAAGCGCTTTAAGTTTATTTAAATATTAATTTATTTATATACTTATATCTATCTTTTATTATGATGTAACAGTGTTTTGGATATATTTTGATGTGTTAAAGTCTAGATAAATGTGTGGATGTTTAAAATAGTAATTGTAGCATTAAGAAGTATATAAAATGTGATTCATAAGTTTATCCAGCCTTTGTGGCAAATATACTGTTATTATGTAATTGTGTCATAGAACTATAATGTAATAGAGTGTACATGGTGTGATACCTGTGCTTACAGCATGTTTTAGATGTGATTAGATATTAAAAAAAATGAATAGTTTATAAGTTATATTATTCACGAAGCTGATACCTGCATATTAGTAGAGTAGATAAATATACTATTTGTGGTAAATGTAACGTTATGACACTCTAAGTATAATATACACTTGTATAGACAATTATAAAAAGTTGCGGCTGTGTATTTTTGAATCAACCTGTATATAGGTTATTCATTATATAAAAGAACCCATTGAGCAATAGAAGTGCGCACCTTTTTATTTTTATTTTTATTAAAAAAAAGAAACTTTTATATATATATTTTATGTTTAGATAGGACAGGAACAATATCGCTGTTTAATAAATGCATGCCCATATATTGTAAACTGAATTTCAATGAGGTACAATAACTTAACAGTGTATCTCAGCAATCTTCTTATATAGTTATAATGTTTCCGATATTTGGTTATGGAATATTTAATACAACAAGTTAAGGAATCACCTACATCATATTATGTAAAATTTCCGAATGTTCCATAACCTTTTTTTATACGTCGTTCACATTAACTGTTTACATTCCAGTGCTTCTCAAGTCAGTGGGTTTGCGCTTCATAATTGTTCAAAATTAGTATATATTAAGGATGAGTAGCAACTGACGGAACTGTCAACATTATCTGTGTAAGGATAATATAGATAAATATTAATTTTACTTTAAGTAAGTTAATAAATACATACTACATTGATGTTATCTTAGTACTGGTTTATAATCTGTGTGTAATGAAAATATGTTTATGACAGTTCTGTTTGTTACTTAGGGTATTTGCAATGAGAATTTTATATAAACATGTGCAATGAAATTTTAGCCGACTGCATGTTTTGTATGAGCACACTCAATGTTCTGATAGACCGATACAAATCTGTTCAAATACCACAAAATCAAGAAATATGATTGAAGAATCATTTCTATACAAATATTCAATCCTGCTTATGAACTATATTGGTCTTTTTAAACTTAAATGGCTTATCATATTCTCATTGAGCCGTACTAATGTACATACCTAAATTAATTTAATATAGTAACTTTTATTTACATTTCAACTTACATTACATAGAAAGTGAGTATTATTGTTTGGTTGTCTGATATGAACGTGTAATACTTGTGAAACCCAAGGAAGGGGTTGAGTTATCTAGTATATTGCATTTTATATTAATAAATTTTTCTTATATGTGAAAATAGCTTTTTCTTTCCCTCAATCCACTATTTTGTTAACTATGAAATCTATTTGACATCATCAATATTTGTCTTAACTTTAACTTTAATGGAAAGCATACAAAAATTAAACAAAAACTTTGTATGGTCATCAATTAGTTACATTAGGTTATTTGATAATTTATCCCTCCTTACATTTAAAAAGAATGAAAATTAATCTATATTACACCATTATTATTGTCTATTCATGGCTCACTTTCATTACTTGTTACAAAACCAAGCTTAATATATGCAAAAATTTCTTGAATCCATTTCTAAATTCATTTTAAGCAAAAATATTTTTAGATTATCAGCTATTTCCTAGACAAAACAATGTTCATAATTTTCTAATTCATTTAAAAAATGGTATAATTTTAGACTTGTTACTGGAGTAGAAAAGTCACCAAGCATACTTTGTAATTGCTTTGACCAATGAGGTAATAATAAAATATATTATTATGCTTCTTTCTATAAGTTTGTTTTCTAGAGTTACATAAACAGACAGACAAATTTTATTACAATTAACCATATCAAATCAAACAAACAAAAATGTTACTATGCATGTGGTTTTCTCACATTGTATTTATTTAACTACTTTCTGTGACATGGTTTTAGTATCTAACAGAAATATAGTGTTGAGCCAATGGGGGCATAATCAAAATACTTAAACCCTATAGAGCCTGCCTACAGAAATTTGGTTATTATTATAATCACAACAGATTAAAAAAATATATGTTCAAGATAAGCCTTAAATAACTCAATGATTTATTTAAAACCATCCTGCTTTAAAACCATAGTTTTTATAAATCCTGCAAAGAATTTTGGATGGATTTCAATGTCTTTCTGAGTACAATTATATTAATGGACTATATGAGCAATAAAGTAACAATTTGACTTATTTCTCGATATACAGGGTATATTATAAATTCAACATAATTTGAATAAAGTGAAATCTAAAAAATATATTTTTTAATTTTCATGAAGGGCAATAATTCAGCTCATCAGAGTGAATAATATGGATAATTTCATCAGAATTCGTAATGAAATCTTTGGAGTGCAACGAGAGATAAAGAAATATAATATAGATATATAGCGTGGGAGATAAAAATCGAAATCTCGCTACGAAGAGTAAAAGTCCTTTTTGTTTTTGAATATGAGAGATGTCACAACATTTATTCCTACCTCTGGTAAATCCTCTTGAGTACACATCACGTACACAATATTTTAGACTATTTCCTATGTCAAACTATAAAAATATGCAATTTTTCAAGGATACTTAACTACCTTAAAAAAAATACCTGACAAAAAAATACAAATTGCAACGGAGGGGGGTTGGTTTTGCGCATGGCAAGATGATGTTTAAGGTTTGGGAATGGAACGTTAACCGATACTACAAAGAAGGCAAGTGGTAACTACATGTCTATGTAACAGAGCAAGTTTTCCATGTACGGAAACATCTAAAAAATTCTCCATTCGGTAACCCAAACCAAATGCATAAAACTTGGACGTTGATGAATAATCAACCGAAAAGTTTATGGTCGATATAAAAATCTCGTCCTGTATAAATCCTGCCTAATTTTAAAATATTTCTTAATAATCCAAACTGCTGAATTAAATTAGAAGAATTAATATAATAGTTTCATATATTTTAACCAATTTTTTTATTTGACTGGCAACACTTTCTATGAATATATTTAAATCTTATTGTATTGTTCAATAATTTTATAAGTTAAACGCAATATTTATGATAAAACAGGATATTTCTGTTATTTTTCAGACTCGCATAAAAAATGAGTCAACATTAAACGAGATATGGGTAAATTACAATTGTTCCATTTTTTGGCTTTCCTAAGCTCTGTCTGGATTGCATTTCTTTAAGAAGCTATAAACATTTTTGTACAATAATTTAAAAATAAAAACAGTGTAGTATTACGAATTACTTCTGTAAACTTTTAATATTACATAAATGCTTAGTGGGAAGTATTATTTAATCTATGTTTTTTTGCTACTATCTACCAACGGAAAATTTTTGTTTAGCACTGTTTAAACTAAAAATTACTTCATCTGTGCAGTTAACCGTCACCTTGTTTGATGTTTCTAGTAATTAAATGTCATTCGAGTGTTAACTGACGTTGCTTTGTGACTTGAAATAGTCATAATACAATTCAGTGTCTAGCCGTAAGCGTCAAGAAGGTCGATATTTAGTTTGTTCTCGTGGCATGATAATATAAAATTATAAGTTGGCATAGATGGTGCTAACTCTTCAGGCCGCATCTGGCTATGAATAAAACCATAACCACATCAAATAAAGAAGGCGTTGGCGATTTGCAATCAACACGGGTAAATGCAGGTTACTCAGGCAGGTAAGGTTTAAACATTTAAAAGTTACTTTAAAGTGCATTTAACTTTTAAAATGATATCAACGGATGAAATTTCTCGTTATATTAAGTTCAAGGTCGTATATCCTATACATGTAGGTACATAAAAACAAGATAAGTGACGATTTATTCGTTCGTTTTATACAATCATAATTATATACTATATTATTATGATTTTCAGATTCGAGTTCCTCTAAAAGAGTCGGAGTCGCGGAGCATTTAATCAAATTTAGATCATCGTCGAATTTTAAAATTATGAAAAAATTTATAAGATCCAAAATGGATCACATAGAAGTTACGAATCGAACGGCACCTGATCCGCCGCCACCTCCGAATGTTCAGCCACCGTTGCCTTTGGATCCACCGCCCTTAGATCAGAAATATATTTTGTCAGTTAAACAAGAGATAGATGATAGTAAATACGAGAACAACTCTAACGAAGAAGTACCTGATATACAAAACAGAGAGACAGTTAACGGCACAAATAGTACACAGCAGGCACCAGCGGAAAAAACTAAAGTAACAATATGCAGAGACTTCATAAGAGGGTCATGTAAACGACTCGGAAATTGTAGATATGCACACAAATATGATCTGAGCCAATTAGTGGGTGTGTATACATTTTGTCATGACTATCAAACTTCAGTATGCACATATCCAAACTGCAAATATGTGCATGCGACCGTATTTGAAGAGCATCACTTCTATAGAACAGGAGTGTTACCGCCTCATGCGTTGGCTCATCTCAATAAAGTTAATGTGAATGTAGTACAACCGCCACCACCACCACCGCCACCTCCACCACAACCACAAGGTAATTATAATTCTATAGAAAATCACTAATTATAGTATTCGATAACACTGTATTAAATTTATGTGTATATCTATATAGTAAGACGGAATGGGAGAACCTAACATATTAATCTACTTATACTTGACATATTATTTAACAATATTAACCAAGTCCTACTAATACACTTTGGGATAAACTTTGTTTAATATTCAAACTGGTATGAACTACCCACTAATGTTGTTTGTAGTTAAATTAAAACTATAAAATGGTTTAAGTACATACTTATTACATTTGAATAGTTACATAATGAGGACTATATAAAGGTGTTGTTTATCTTTAATAATATAGTTATTATTGTTTGATAAACTAATAAGTAACTAGAAAAATGAGGGTATCGGTTCAAGTCTAATATTAAAAATACTGAATCTATTCTCACTTTTACTAATGATCGCGTAATACTGACATGTCACCCCAAAAACTATCAAGTACTATTGAATGAAGTGGATAAATTATGTGAGTGGACGGATTGAGGACAAAACCAAATAAATGTCTATGTCTCGGTAGGCGGAATACAAAGTATACCTCATACGATCCGGGATTGTCATTAGGCGGTTTATGCTTTTCTACGGACGCAAAATGCACCATTTAAATTTCTCCGTCGTATGATAGATAATTTAGGTCGTACTCCATCTATAGAAGGAATAGTAGATAGCTTTTTAAACAATTTTAAGGTCGATCAATAACCGATCAGTAACATCCAAAATCTTAGATCTACTATAATTCCAAAATATCGAGTGTAAGTTAGCATTTTCTCGACTATGATTTTAATAAAATCCTTTTGTCAAAATTAGATGCAAGGGTCAGAAAGGCGTTAAAGTTGTGGCTCGAGCATACGCTGTTGGCTGATTCGTCAGCGTTATTCAGGGATAGCAATAATTTTGGGATAAAAACCTAAGTTTCCAACAGACTTATCCTGGGGAAATTTCATGATGACGTCGTTGTATCACTCCCAAAAGATTTCTCAAAGCTACAGTACTTCAAGACTTCAATTCCATAAGCAGTTTATTATAGTAGCACAAAGTAACAGAGTAGGGTTAGGATCAAGTAAGAAAGCCAAAGATACGCATATATTAAAGAGTTTTATTCGGGAAGGCGAGAATGCTAAATATAACATCCATGCAATAAGTTTAAAAATGCTCAATTCTTAACTACTCAACTTTGATAACATATATTACTATCATAACTTACAATTTCACAATTATAAGTTTAATCACAAACACGTCTTGAGCGAGAGTGGTGATTAATGCTCAAACCTTCTCCATGTGAGAAGAGGCAGTTCAGCAGTAGGCTCTTATGGGCTGATGACATGACTATGATAACTAAACATGATTGTATGAAATTAATAATTATTAATATATAATATATTATTTACAGATGTCCCGAATAATTTTTCGCACGTACCAATGAATACGCCAATGATGTTCACAGTTCCACCACCGAAATTACAAAACGAGTGAGTATACGACATATTACTTCAAAATATAGTATATAGTAAGGAGTGATTTTTCTGGTAGTAATGTTACCCATTAATAATTATTATTTTTTATACATTTTCTGTATAAAATCAAATAAAATTGTCAATCAAATACCATTTAAATTGAGGCAACATTCAAAAAATATCGTCATATTTATGTGTTTGTAAAAAAAAAATTTGCCCAATGTATATGTACATTTTTTCTCGACTTTCAGAATATCACAAGTTGACCTCACAAACGCCAGGACATCGAAAAAAACCTTCCTCGAACACTGTAAGCAGATTTTAATATTGATTTATACATATATTTTTTTAATATGATTGTTGAAAGGCCCAGTTATAAAACCATCCCTTATTGCCGAAATATGTATATTAATAAAAATATATATATTGTCTGAATATCAAACAAGAATCAGAATTAGAATTTTATACTAAATAATCTTAAAATTATGATATAATTTTACTCAAAATAAACTTAAAAATACATGAACGGTTTTTAATGTATTGCAGAACTTTTTTTAATAAGTAGTAACTAAAAGATTGTTTGAAAATTGAGATCAAATTGCTAAAATATTTTAATGTGCATAGAGGTATCTCGTACTGGTCCCTTCAACATCAAAAGCATGAACATAAACTTAAATAAAATAAGAAAATATTTAAATTATTAAAATATGCTTTAAATTTGCTTGCGAATTTATTTATATATAATAAATTGTCGAAGATAAATGATCATATTATGTAACTTCACTGTGTTTAAAGTTAAGAGAAGGCTGTGAATCTGAAACTATCGATATATCACTCTAACCCATCACTATTACATCACTAGTCTGATGATCAGTAACAATCTCTTGAACTGTATCAATTGGTTCCTCCAAACATTAAGTTATTATAAAGAAAGTACAATGCAAATTTGATAATGCTTTGCTGTGTACTGATAACAATAAGCCTGTTTGAATCTAAATGTTGTTTGGTCGAAGCGCACAGCAACCTAACACGTGGCTCGTCTCCTTGCTGCAGCGTAACAGATGTAAATCAATATAGATTCATAGTGATAGTCCAATGAAAGTGTTTCTCACACTCCGACCTCACGAGCACGTGAAGTGATCCACAGTAGATGTATATTGTTCCTATAGTACAGTACAGTATAGTATACTACTGCCTAATGAATGACTGCCTGTCTGTTTGTGTTTAACGCCGAGCGAGTGTAATTATGGCCACTTGATTTTGTCTGCAGTCGGCAGCTCGCCCAGCGACCGCGACACCTATGAACCGTTCCCAAAAAAATGCAAACATTGTGATATCATGGATTTCAGGTTTGGTATAAAAGCTTACGCCCGTATTACATTCTCATTGTAGTTTTAAAGTTTACGATCTGCTTCTACTTTGTGTATTACGCGAAATTAATTAAACGAAACTAAATTCAGCCCAGGCGATATTGACTAATAATATTTTTGGAAACAAAGTTAAAGTTAAAGACAAGTTACACAAGAATCAGTTGAACATTGCACTTGTTTGATATTTGAATAGATTTTAATGTTGCTTAGAGTTTTTAAAAATAATAATTTATATAAATGGTTGTGTCATTAAATTGGTTGTGTTAATAAAGAAAATGTAATTCATTCATACCACTAGACATATTATTAAAAACAAAAATCAATATATTTTGCAGATTGCAATACCACAAAGAGGAGGTAGAAAAAATGGAGCTGGCTAGGGATCAAAAAATTGAAAACACATGTCTATTAGAAAGGAAAAAGAAGAAAATTAATGCACTAATTTTAACTCTATTCAAAGTTAGTATTACAATACCTGTTGTCTAGATATAAAGATAGAAGTAACCCTAGTTAATGTAGTTGACTTTTTCCAATTACTTACAGTCAACGAAATAAGATAAATTATGTAAACATATGTTTTTAGATGTCACCTAGATAAAGTGGCTAGTATAGAATCACTATGATTATAGAAGGGCCTCCTGATGTAGCTTAATAAGCACATATACATACCAGAGTTAATATATATATTTAATTCTCTTTTAATTTTTAAATAACATATTTTTTACATATATATTTCAGTTATCATCCAAGAATCAAAATCATAGCAGCGACAAAGAAACCAATCATGGTGGTGATAAAGACAAGGTAAAGAAAAAATATTTATAATATATTGCCTCATTATTCATAAGAATAATTATTAGATTATTTATTCTAATCTGAATTATCTTGTTTTTGCATGATGTTAAAATACTTTTTATACTTTCTATATAACATTTATATGAACATAGATTGTTTATGTTTATATAATATATATATATATGTATAATGTTTCAGATGTTATTGGAGCAGCTAAGCAGTATTTTTAGTGTCAACGGTAGAATGTCAGCGCTTGGAGAGGATGAATAATATTTAAGGTAAATTCATCTACATAATTCTTCCTTATTTCCCTGTTTTTGTTTTATAAAGATTTTTACCAAATATCACTTATGATAACATTACACAAACCTAAAGATTTGTGTAATGTTTTGCTAAGGTTAATACACGGTTTAATAATTTAATTTTGCTAGGATTAAAATTATATATATTTTTTTGGTTGTTCACAAATGGGTAGTGTTTATGTAAGTTTATGTACATATATTTATATTAAAATGTTTATTGCCATGATTTATAAATAATTCATTATATTGTTTGTTTCGCCAATACAAGTCTATTATGTACCTATTTAAAGTAACTGCCATATTAAAAATTTCCATTTTTAATATATTTGTCTTTATTGCTTAGATTTAAAAGATACTTATAATATCATTGTATGGAATCTTAGCTGCTTTACTGATTTTATATCTTAGATATCGAAAATAACTTAAAATTAAAATCTTCTCTAGTAAATTTCGGAAAAACTATTTCTGAACATGGATATTGAAAACAAAATAGTATTACATACAATCTTATTATCGATGATGGTAATGTTTTAGCTCATACTTTTTAAAGGAAAGTTTGACTACAAGAAATTTGAGCTTGCAAAAGTATTATTACTGATTTTAATTATAAGTTTTAACATTTTTACAAATAATATTATTTCTTTAAAATGAATCTCAGTAATATGAACTCATACTGATCTGTTCAATTAGTTAAAGTATGTTAATGTATTTAAGATATATCTAAAGAAAATATTTATTAGTGTATTATGGTAGTACAATTAGTGGCCATAATAATTATAGATTTTAGATTGACATTTTAAGAGAAAGTTCTCTTGTATTGAATGGTTTTCAGCCATTTCTAATTTTAATATATGTCTTGCTATAAAAAATCCTAAGGGTTGCATTAATCCTATTATTATTAAGGCTAAAATGATAATGAATTGTCATACATTGTGCAGGGGGAAATTATGGCACTCTGATGTTTTTTCTTTGGTAAGAAAATGAGATCAGTTTCTTTACTTTATTTTTATTAATAAATTGTTTATATTGATAACTCAAAAATATTTATCTTTCTGTCAAAAGATCGTTATACATACATATTGTGTTGAATAATCTGGGATAAATTTAGAAAATCTTTAAATTTTTTTGTGAAAAAATCCCATAGAGTGATATTTTATAAATAAGAGAAAATTTAACACATATGCATATTTTTAAACATAGCTAGATGAAGTTTAAGATACCTACTTACATATAGTTTGGTGACAAAAACCTAGACTTTATTTTGGCTTACTAAGCAGTAATATTATAAATCAAAGATCATTGAGGTTTTCACAAAAGCTATCACTTCTTTTGAATTAAGACCGATTTAAACAAAAAAAATATACATATATTCATGTTTTTCCTTTCAAAAAAGCTTTCCTGGTTTGAATACTGGAGGATTAAAATATGTTATCTCTGATGCTCCACATATCAGAATTTTGTTAAATGACAATAACTAAGTACATTTATCGAATGATCTACAGGCGTGGGTTTAGCAAAATTCTTGTTGTATTTGCTTTGCAAGATGAAAAAAATCACGAGGAATTAATTTAAGACAGACATAGACAGATATATCAAGATCCTGTATAGGTACTAAGAAATATTTACCAAAAAATTGGGTTCTATAGCGTACATAAAATAGGAAAAACGTCTCCGTCAGGGCCCAATAGCGATTGAGGGCAAAGATAAAGGTCCTTGGCATTACATTTAATGGAAAATTACTATTGAGTTTATCCTTTATATTTACTTTAATTAAAAATTGAGGTAGAATTTTTTTAATGACATTTGAATCTGTAGTCTTACTAATAACTATCAGCTTCTGTAAATAGAAATTCGCAGTCGTAGTTTTATTAGAGACTGAAAACATTGTTTATATTTAAATAGTTCTGCCTACAATTAATTATTTTTACATATTTGTTACAGGATCGAGCAGACGATAGTCTGGAAGGCGAGACATTAACGCCGGCTTGGTTGTAGTGAACTATAGACATTGGTTCAGCTTACAACCGACAAAGAAACTGTTCAATGACGATCATATGAGTGGAGTGACTGTTAGATTAGTGACTTACTGTGAACTTGACCCGCCTCGGCTCCTCCAGTGTCGGCGATGACTACTGAGAGATGACTCACGGACGGGTCCACGGGCTTCCAACACTCAACATGTCGCGTGGTTCATTACAACCGAGTTACAGTGACTTACGGTACAGTGATCGCCTTTGGGAGGACTCATGATGAGTGACGCTCTAAAGGTTAACAGAGCTTAAGTAAAACAAATACAAGTCACAAAATTAAAAGAACCTACTTGATCGAAAGATTCTAACATCGAGGCAAATAACAATTTGCAATGTTGTTTTACAAAAAATTTTGTATAACATTATGTTTTATGTAAATTATATATTTTTCGTTGTATCTGGCATCACTGTTAGAGTTTTTAAGATTGTTCTAGTTATTTAGTGATGGTAGTTTTTACGAATAACTTTCCGTGGTGGTGCTATCAAAAATCTTACTAATGACAAGTTTAGGATAGTTGCAATACTATTCTTTTTACTACACGTTCACCACCGCTAAGGAAAGGGCGGTTTTGTTTTTATAATTTTATTTATAATGCTCAATATTCTTTTAATATTTTAACATTTTTTCAGTTATATCTCTGTCTTAGGCCCTGATTAGGATATTGTTATAGCGAAATTGGAAATGGGCAAAAATATACATATTTTTTCTTATTCCGTACAAAAACATACCAAGATGATAGTTTTGGTCTATGTTTTCGACACTTAAACCAAATGGAAATTTGACTACGACATAGATTATTCCAATTTGTAAAAGTATTACGATATCTAGATTACAGTACTGAAATTTCCACTAAAATCGTAAGTCGCGAAGTATATATGTTTTTTCGCCACGTAGACCATTAACTGTTCAAGCCTGATCTGAAAATGTTATCGTTTATATTAGGATGTACATAGAGACCTCATTTATACAATAGAATATATTTATCCTAAAGAATATAGAAGACAATATAAAAATTAAAGATACCATATATACCAACTACAGATATAAATTTACTTCCGTACATTGGTGCCTTGTAAATAACATGTGGCTTTAAAGTACAAGTACATTTCCAGAACATCTATTTCTAGAAAATATTAGGATCTAGACCTAGGTCCAAAACGAAATTTTCCAAAATAGTCACGTCTCCTTTTATTTTGTTTTCCTATGTAAATGGGACCTGTTAAAAAGTATTTTTTATACTCTTTTTGTCTGTCTTTGTATTTTCTCATTTATTTCTTATGGCTACCAACCTAAATATGTATATGTACCAAAAAATTAGTTTTTGTTTTGACTCGTTCAAAATTTTGCTTTCATAGTTTTTGGCTATTTGTTTTTACGACAGGCAGGCGGCCGGTCGTAAAAACAAATAGCCAAAAAATTTTCACAACATGTAAGGCAGACCCTGGCTATAGCTGGGAAATTGCCAGGTAGAAGAAGAAAAAGGTCATATGCAAATAAAACTTTAAAATTTCTTATTTTAATACATTCTTCTGGAAGTTTTTCCAAATACCAACAACATGTTGTGCATTCAGCTTTTTTGCAATAAGCTTATTCTTTATTTTTGGAGATTACCGCACATTTGTGAATATTTTATATAGGGCATTTAATTTTAGAGTATTTTGAAACTAGGTTGTTATTCAAACTTTATCAGGAGTAAGTGATGCTAATGTAAAACTAATATATCTTCTTACTAGTTTATTAGTGCGTCCAATCTTGTAAATAATGTGGTGTACCTCTTCTTCATTAAGGGAGGGGTTTATTATTAGGTCATATTATGTAAAAAACTTTATAAATTATTATTTTCGATAAGAACACTAACGCTAGTTGTAGAAATAAATAAATCAATTTTTTTCGGAATATATTATGTATCGGAAAAAAAAACATTCAACGATCTCAGTATTAGTATCTCTTAGTAAGTTATTATTATATTAGTTGTCGTGACGTTTCAATTAAATTATTACGTTCCGCCAACAACGCCACAGTCGGACCCGGGTCATGCCACAGCGAAGTTTATTAACATTAGATATATGAAGAGAGATGAACCGAGGAAGAAAAACACCGAATGTAACAAGATACGTACAAGCTGAGAGTCAGCCCTTACTACATGTAGATTGTATATTTTTATATTACGACTTAGCTCCGCCGTCTCCCGTAGACAGACACGCGTTAGTATAGACGAGTGAGTACAAGAGGTAACAACAGCAATACTATCATATAATATTAAGGAAGCGAGTGTTATGCAACTAGTTGTAAGTGTTAATTTAATATTTGCATAAGCGAAATTGCCTTAACGTAGCTGTAACTACATATATTAGGAACGATCGATTCTAAGTTCTAACGTAGCCTTGAACGCCGTAACCGCCTCCATAGTAGATTTTATAAACTCGGTAGGAACAGATTTTATATAGGACCCATAGACATCGAGACGCGCCAAGGAAAGAAATCAATATATTTATATAGTGGCGAATTAATATTTCACGTAATTAGTGTTTTATTAAGTGCACACACACTATTGTTTAACGATGTAAATATATTTTATATTGTATTAGACTTTGTACTTTCATGTTAAGATGCATTTTTCATTGCACGGTCGGTGCGATCGGAACGAGACGCGGCGTGTGTCGTGTGTGAAGCGACTCGTGTGGCGACAGTGATAATAATAACTCTACGAGGACGTGTGTTGTGTGACTATACAAACAACACACATGTTCACACTTCACACTGTGAGTGTGAGCGCGGGTCACGCCCTCTCTCGGTCTGATCGCCCTCCTCCGTCTCACCGGGTTGTAGAAACCTTTTTAATATTTTAATAACACCAACTTTACTCTTATCGAACATGAATTATATTGAAATCCGATTTATATTTTATTTGTATAACTACACGTGTATGATTCTTTT